TATCTCCCAGGCAGAGAGAGGGCGGATATTACTGTGAAACCATGGTGATTGGTTATTGTCTTTGTTTGCTGTGGGAGGTCCTCTTGCAGGATGATTTCTCATAAAAGCCAGTGTGTTTTCAATAAACTTGATTCCTGTTACACCCTTCATGAAGTCTAGGGGGATATTCTATTTGCTGGGGAGAATCGTCTTGGAAACTGCATTCATCTACACGATTCCTCCACTCCCTGCTGCAGCTATAATCACTTATGCTCAGCTATTGGGAAAGGAATAGAAGACCACAGTACCATAACCACTGCAGGTCTTAACAACTGGTAGCAAGCGATGGGATTGAATGGGACGCATAAAGACAACTGGTGAATGGCCCAGCAGTACGAGAGACTAAAAAGGACTACGCTAAAGGATCTGCTGGAAGTCCGAGGTCAGGTGGCAAGCAACAAAAATAAAGCTACCCTCATAGCAGAACTAATGGAGGGCGACCAAACCAGCAGCATGGTGAATGTTAACCAGGAGGAAGCAGAATTTCAACAGAAGGTGATGTGGAGGCTAAACCTATATGGACCAAATCCCACACCTGAGATTGTGATGCAAGTCCTGGCACAAGTGAGCGCAAAACGCAGAGCACAACGGGCAAGCTTGCATCAAGGAGACACCGCTTCCTTAGCTGGATCTATAAATGGAGGGCAGAGGAGAAAGATTAATTATGCTGCTTTCAAAAGTTTTTCGGATAGAGAAATGGAAATTGACGCATACCTACAAGATTTTGAGCGTCAATGCGCTTTGGAGGGTCTGGAATCAGAGCAATGGGCCGCGATTTTAAACAGCAAGCTCACGAGCCGAGCAGCAGAGGCGTACCGAGCAGTTCCTGACACAGCCATACACGACTACGCCAGGGTAAAGGACATTCTGCTAGCCAGGTATGCCGTGACCCCAGAGAATTACAGGAAAAAGTTTCGGGCATTACGGAAAGGGGGCCGAGACTCCTACACCGAATGGGCTTTTAGGATGTGTCGGGAAGCCCAAAACTGGATACAAGGCTGCCAGGCCACAACGCTAGAGGAGGTGCTGCAACTCCTCTTACTAGAACAATTTTTTGACCACACACCTGCAGACACCAGGGACTGGGTCAGAGACAGGAAGCCGGCCACAGTCGAGGAAGCGGCCAAGCTGGCAGACGAGCATCACGAGGGAAGAAAAGGAGAGGCTAGTGGAAACCGTCCTCTGGTAAGGTCCAGCGCTCCAACGCCAGGCCCTGTAACCAACCTGAGACCAAACGCGGTACCACCCACAACACAGCCTAATTTTAACAGGAGACCACCATTGGCATGTCACCAGTGCAATTAGCCAGGGCACTACAAAATACATTTCCCTCAGCGGAGCAGAGGTAACTGGGAGCGGCCACCGCCACCACAGAGGGCCGCTGCTCACCACTATCAACATGAGCTGCTGTAAGATCACAGTCTGGATTCGGAGCAATGGGCCATACTACGTGAGGTGAACCTAGCCCAAGCTGAGGAGGACAACCGGGTGCACCACAGACAATGGGTCACCATAGATGGAAAAGAGGCTGAGGCACTACGAGACTCTGGGGCCACCCTTACTTTGGTGCAGCCTCACACCGTATCTGCAAAGGCGTGCACCAACAGGACTGTTGCAGTAAGAGTGGCAGGAGGCGCCATCCACAAGTTACCCACAGCTCGAGCACAGTTAAATTGGGGCACCGGAGCCAAGTGGGCATTATGTCTGGCCTACCTGCGGAAGTATTGTTGGGGAATGATTTGGGGTGCCTAACTTCACAGCTGATTCACCCTGATCCCGCTGGAACCTGCCCCGTGACTACCAGGGCGCAAGCTCGCCGAGCTGGACCGACACACTCCGAGGAACCACAGGTAGGAACCGAAATCCCCGTAGCATGCCCTAACCCTATCTCCTTCTGGGGCACTCCCCAAGTCTTTAGCCAAGCCTAGCAGTCAGATCCCACCTTAGCAGGTTACAGGAAGGCATTAGGTACCCCTCAGGAAGGTAATGCCCACGAGAACTTCCACTGGGACAAGGGACTGTTATATAGGGTCACAGGGGGAGTGGGAAAGGGGGCAGCCCAAGTTATAAAAAGACAGCTAGTCGTACCCCGCAAATACAGAGCAGAGCTTCTAAAGCTGAGCCATGATATCCCACTAGCTGGACATCTGGGTATCAAGAAAACTAAGGATCGCCTTACCCAGACGTTCTTCTGGCCTGGGATATCAAAAGTTTGCAGACGTACTGCAGGACATGTGACACATGTCAAAGGATAGGGAAAAGGGGGGATCACCCTAAGGCCAAGTTACGATCCCTACCAATAATAGAAGAACCATTCTACAGAGTGGCAGTAGACCTGATAGGGCCCCTCAGCAAACCCAGCTCCTCTGGTAAGCGCTACATCCTCACGGTGGTGGACTACACCACCAGGTACCCTGAGGCTGTGGCGCTCTCCAACATTGAGGAGGAGACGGTAGTAGAGGCTCTAGTCAGGATCTTTTCCCGAGTAGGGTTCCCCCGGGAAATACTTTCAGACCAGGGAACACAGTTCACGGCAACTGTAACTCAACAGCTGTGGCAGAGCTGCGGGATAAAACCGTTATTCAGCTCCCCCTACCACCCCCAGACCAACGGTCTCTGTGAATGATTCAACAGCACACTTAAGCAGATGCTCACAGCGTTCAGAGTCCTACGGTCAATGAGAGAAATTTCTACCTCATCTCCTGTTTGCCTACCGGGAAGTGCCCCAGGCGTCCACCGGGTTCTCCCCCTTCGAACTCCTATACGGGAGAAAAGACTGGGGACCCCTGGATCTCATACGGGAGCACTGGGAGGGCAACACAGGAGAGGAAGGGATCCCAGTTTTGCCATATGTGCTGGAGTTCCGGCACCGCGTGCAGGCCCTGACCGAATCAGTTCGGGAGAACCTGCAGTCGGCCCAGAAACGACAGAAACAATGGAATAACCGGGGAGCACGAGATAGGAACCTGGAAGTAGGGCAAAAAGTACTAGCCCTGCGACCTTCCAAAAAGGACAAGCTCCAGGCAGCTTGGCAGGGGCTATTTAAGGTGGTGGAACGGATTAGCGACACCACCTATATTGTAGCCAAATGTTCAAATGAAAGGGTCAGACGAGCCTTTCATGTGAACATGTTGTAACCGTACTTCGAGTGCTCTGAGGACGTGGACGCTATCTGTGCCCCGTCCACTGATGATAGTGAAGGACTCCCCTTACCTGACCTGCTGGCAGCTAACCAAGGTACCTTAGAACAGGTCGGGTTGGGGGAGAAACTAGATCCCATCCAGCTGGCAGACGCAAAACAACTGCTGCGGGAATACGGTGGGCTGTTCTCGGTTCTACCCGGGTATACCTCCGCCGCAGTGCACCGGGTGGAAATGCAGGGGGAGACCCCATTATGGCAGCAGCCGTACCGTATCCCAGCAGCAGTACGGGCCAGCATGTGAAAAGAAA